ATTGTACGTGCTCTCTCAAACGCTATGCGGAGATTTGATCGTGTTTCCGCGCAGATCAGACGTGCTCTTTTCGTTCCAAGTAACTTAGTTTGAAGTTGCAGCAGAGGGATGGCGGGAGTAGGTGCAGTGGGGATCGCGGGTGTAGGTGCGTTGAACATGGGTGTGCAGGGGGGGATCGGCCAAGCTGTGGGCGGGCCTGGTCTTGTGAACCCTGTGATGCAATAGCAAGGGGCCGCACAAGGTAGCGGGGGAGCCGGGCAGTATGGCGTTGTGACATGCTACATACGCGGTAAGAATGGCCACTGAGCACGAAATTGTTGGCAGGCCGTGAATAGACAAAGACCAGAGGAGGAGAATAATGAAATGAGGGAAATCCTTCTTTGGATTGGTAGGAGGGAGAAAGAGGAGGAGGAGAGGAAGAAGCGTGAGATTGATGAGGCGAAACGTAAGGAAGAAGAAGAACGACGGGAGGGCGAAAAACTTAGGGAGGAACAGGCGAGAGAAGCGAAACTAGAAGCAACCATCGTTAGGATCCTTATGCAGCATGAAGCATCAATGATGAAAACTCCTGCATCGCAGGCAGGGAATGGAATCAAGAAGAGATCACCGCATTCCAAGGCACGGATGCTGCGAGATATCACAAGCTACATCGCTGAATCAGAGGACGATAGTGAGGAAGTGAAGGAGGAGGCTGAGAAGTTGATCGAAGCGTTAGAAAGCCGGAGGAAACCTAAGCAGGGTGCTGCGATCATACGTACGGCTGTCAGTCGGGTGAAGAAGGTACCTACGCCGAGGAGGGACAAGGCTCGTGAGGACAATCGTGTGTCGAATGGTGAGGTTTTCGAGACTCCGAGGAAGGCTTGTCCTGCGGAGTGCTCGAGTGAAGGGCTGGTGGACTTTGCCCTATCTCAAACAAAGGTGTTGAGCGCTGTGAGAGCGGGGGACATCCAGAAGATCTGTGACAAGGAGGGGATTGCGTACGTTAAGAAGGACATCTCCATTCAAGAGATTGTGAGGTGTCGGACGAGACTCGCGTATGAAGGCTTTTTCGAGCTGAAGAGTCAGACGCCGGATTCGAAGACTCCTGCTAGGGGGCTTGAGACTCCCTAATGGCTTACCAAATTTCGACTCGCGCCGCCGCTATCAAGTTCAGGGAGTTGACTGCAAGGAGGAGGGATAGGGAGGTGCGGAAGATACGACCACTGATGAACAGAGATGACGAAAATGAGTTGGCGCTGCTTCTAATACTCATGACGGTGAGGGGGTACGTTCCATGGATTAAAAAGCTGTTAAAATTCGTCGAGCCGGAAGATATTGATGTTAATCGATCCGGAGTGTATGCCATAGTTAGTCCTTACTGTAGGCGATTCTATATTGGTTGTACGTTGAGGATAATAGTAACTAGGTGGGCAGAACACGTCAGATGTTTGGTGAGCGGTAACATTGGGAATGCTCCGAAACTTCACACGTGGTTGAGGTGTTTTGGATGACATTCGTATGTTGCCTTACCGTTGGTCTCTGGGGCAGCAGACGGACTGTACGTCGAGAGCAGGCTGATATTGAGATTTTTGTCATCCCTAAACACAATTGGGCATAGCCAGAAGAAGAAGAAGAAGCGTCGGAAAGGCACCAGGCAATGCGTAGAGAGAAGGGAGACACATGTGACTAAGGTTGTGACTTTTATCATCGTCAGGAAGACGTTTGCTTCGCTGTGTTCGATCTTCGAACTGAACGATGGCTCGGCGCAAGCGATCGAGGTGGAATCCGTGGCAGGAGAGTACTGGCTTGACTCCTGGAAGACAGTTCGAGAGAAGTACAGCGAATCTACGGTCACCATCGGCATGACACGGGTAAGGTTAAGAGAGGCTAGACAGAGAATCCAAGCCGGTTGCCGGTTTCGTGTTAGCAGGCTGGTGGTGACGTTATCTGGAGTGCAGAGAAACAAGTGGTTTCTGCAGGAGCTCTTGGCCCAGCCATGGCGGGTGCGGAATCTGCATGGACTTACGAGTAGGAAGATGGTTGATCTCTACCGTACGGCCGGTCTATTTTCAAACAATAGGACGAGGAGTGAGTTGCGTCAGAAACTGGCGCGAACAATTAAGTGCAAGTTTGGGATTGAGGTGAGGAAGCGGGTGATTGTTCGGGTCCTGTTCTCAGCACGCGTTAGTATGAGCACGGTTAGGGACATTGTCGTTAAGATTATCACTCTATCTATTACAGGTAAGTGCATCCGGTCTCTCGTGGTAGAGAGATTGAGAATAGTGAGACTGAAAGGTAGGATTGTGGGTAGCAGCATCCACAACTACGGATTGAAGTTGGAACGGAGATTAGATATGTGTACCTGCGTGGGTCTTGATGTCGATAGATTCCAAGGGAATGCTCGGATCAGGCTCGATGATGCGGTAGGGGTTCACGGATTCCTACATAACTCGAAGAACATAACGTGCGGAAGAATCCTGACAAAGTTCCATTTGATGGAAATTGTCGTACGAGCCATACCCAAGGGATGGAGACACAATTCCATGCATGTCACCAATGAAGAGGTGATGAAGTGCTTCGCGGAAGATGGACCCAGAACCATGGCTTTGACGGAGCAAGACGTCAAGCGGGAAGTACGGCACCTTCAAGATCTAGTTCTCGTACCACTCGATCGGAATCCAGGTGCTACGATGGTCATCTTCCTGGTACTGTATTTCCATGCCTTTCGCATGACTTTTGCTGGAGTGCTGGATTCATCCCCAGGAGGGAGAAGGAGGAGCAGATACTCACTCTCTCGAAGACAACGTATAAGGGGGCTGGTCTTCCGTCTGTTGCCACGTGGCGTACATGTGGCAAACTGGGGAGAGCTTATGTTATCCCCAAGGACAAGGACTACTCGAGATGGCGTCCTATTTCTCCTTCCTGGTCTGAGCCATCCAGGACTGCAAGTTCTTGATTGGGAAGAGCACTCAGATATATGTTGATGTGCCTATTGTCACTTCAGTCTGAGATCTACCGATCATTTGAAGAAGGTGATGCTGGAAAGGGTCACGAGCATCCAGAAGGCCGGCAATACGATCATTGGGAGGAGCTACGACATTAAAGATATGTTTGTTAAACTCCCCCACGGCGACATTGTCGACTCAGTTCGGTGGATCTCGCAACTGCTCGAGGACCGCGGGCTGGTCGGAGTAAAATTGAGTATTCGAGGAAAGTGCTGTAAAATGGCCAGAACTGAGAGAAAGGAGATCGGGTACCTTCTCCTCTCTTTCAAACAGATCATGCACATTTTGGTGTACGAACTGCAGCACACGTACACCGTATGCGAGGGTCAAGTCTACCAGCAAATTTTTGGAGTCCCAATGGGGAAACACTCATCCCCCGCGTTGGCAAATCTGTTGTGTGCAAAGGCCGGATATTGTTTTCTTAGAGCCTTGGGTGTTGACCGGCGTCTGGTAGCCGGTGTCAGGATGGTTGACAATGCATCTATCCTGCTTGCCTTTGATCATTCGAACCACGGCTCGTACATCAGAGCATTAGAGATTATGGACCTGTTCTCGGAATGCTACCCGAAGACCCTCAAGCTGGTTAGAAAGGACGATGGGAACAACGCCTGGGATTTCTTGGGATCCCGGGTGATTCTGGAACCATGCCCGCCTGTGGTGCACATTCTACCACGGACGAAGAATCAGATATCGATTGTGAAGTATGGTTTCTTGCACTATCACTCCATGCAGGATTTTTGGTCGTACTCGACAAAGGAGGTGAAACGGATGACCCTCACTATGGAAGTCGTCAACTGACGAAACAGCAGCACTAACATCGATTATATGCCTCCTGAAAGAGGCGCGCCTCCGGGATTACCCCCCGGAGGTCTTCTTCGGATCCTTGGCCAGGTTCGCCAAGGTGGTGGGTGGTACATGGGGATCTTCGATCTCACAAATGTACCCCCACCGTCGAGCTTTTGGGACCTGTGTAGGCTGAGCATGGGGTTGTATGTCGAAAAAAAGGATTTTTTTGGGCACCGCAGTAATTCCTCTGCACCCTGCCGAGATTACGGGGAGCATTACCTGTTTTTCTGGYTGTATCCGTTTTTGAGGGTTTGACACTCGCTCAGGCGGTTAATTTATTTTATTTGTTTTATTTTATTTATTATGTGCGGTGCCAGACTTGGTACTGGCGGTGTTTTTTTTTTGTCACTGTAGTAACCCTCTGCACCCTCCGGGCTAACGGGAGCATTACCGGGATTTTTGGCTGTATCCGTTTGGGTTTTTGGCACTCGCTCAGATGTACTGTGTACGGTCCCATACTTGGTACTGGCGGTGGGTTTTTGAGCACCCTGATAGGAACGGCGGCCCGACGATGGACCTGTGGAACACTGAGCGACAGGATCTGTTTTTTGGAGTTGAGCACATCTGCACTCGGTAGGATTTTTTGGAACTTCGTAGATATATATATATATGGGTAATCTCGATGGTAGTAAGCCATTCGTTGTCGCATCAGAGTGGATAGCTCTGCCTCCGCCTTATCGAATGATGAACGTGGGGAGTTGTACTACGCGTAAGTTTGCTACGGACCTATATCGCGAACACGTTGTGGTAGGCAGGTTGGGCGTGGAGAGAAGGATGTGGGATAGAGGTAAGAAAGGATGTTCGTAGTTCCGATGCTTATGCGCTGAACGATGAGGAGTTATACTCCTCCTTGGTAGTATTACCTCCTGAAGAGACTTGGCACGCACCAAGTCGAAACGCGTCGAGGATCTTGCGTGTAATTTTTGTGGTGTTTCGCAAGGAATTTTTCTGCCCTCCGAGGAATAGTGTTGTATCTGTTTGTTCTACCTTGACTTCTTCTTCTTCTTCTTCTTCTTTTTCTTCTTTTTTTTTTTTTTTTTTTTTTTTTTTTTTTTTTTTTTTTTTTTTTTTTTTTTTTTTTTTTCTTTTTCTTCTTCTTCTTCTTCTTCGTCGTCGTCGTCGTCGTTGCATCCCCATCAATATATATCTTCTTCTTCTTCTTGCCCAACCTGTCATCCAGGTCACCGACCTTGTAGGTATAGGCTTCCGCTGCGGAGCTTTCGTTGTTTCGTTTTTTTTTTCCGCCTCTTCTCTCCAATATACATATATAACAGGTGATGAACGGGCAAATCATTTCTTCCTTCTTTGTTTTTTTTCATATTTCATTGCAATTTATAGTTACATGTATATGTTTTGTTTTTTTTCCGTTATTCGTCAATTTGTCGATGATGAGGAACGGCATCTCTCTCTCATCTGCCATTTCGTCAAAATGGACATCTTTTATTTTTTGAACGACATTGAAACCGAGTTTTTTGACTGAAAAATCGTCTAAATTTGTTATTCCTAAGGGTCCGGCGTTTGTAAAAAGTTGGACCCTCTGGCTGTACATGGACCTAGCTTGAGAACAGGGAGGGTCCAGCGTTTTACAAACATCGGACCCTTAGGAATAACAACTTTTGACGAGTTTTCGGCAAAAAAACTCGGTTTCAATTTCGTTCTAAAAATAAAAGATGTCCATTTTGACAAAATGGTTGTTGTTTTCTCTCTCTCTCTCTCTCTCTCTCTCTCTCTATCTATCTATCTATCTATCTATCTATCTATCTATCTATCTATCTATCTATCTCTCTCTCTCTTTCTCTCTTTGTTCAGGTCTCTCTCTACATATCAACAATTGTGGCACGATCCGGATATTAGGTTTTTTATTCTTCGGTGGACTTCGGTTACGAACTTGAGCAAACATGTCAGGCAAAAATTATTTTCTATTATTATTTTTCATGTCATATTTGTGTTTTCAAAATTTTCATATTAAAAATCGTGTAATATATATATATATACAGGGTTACCTGACCGAACGTTCGGGGGCCTCTGGGCTGGCCTCCGAACGTTCGGGCGTTTGGGGTCCCGTTCGGGGGCTGAACACCTCCAGGTTCGGCCCCCGCCAAAAAATATTTTGGGGCTTACAAATAAGTTTTTTTTTCTGATTTGTTTTTTTTGTGAGTTCTCCATGATGTAACCTACACGCCTATAAATTTTGAAGCCATTTTGCTTAGCCAAACAAACATTAAAAATTGTCAAAGATGGGGGTGTCAAAACCTGCTCGCCCACTCACTATTTTGTTTTTTTTCACTTTTGACTTTTTATTTTCACTTTATTTCGGGGCCTAAACAATTTTATTATTTTTTGATTTTTTTTTAATGAGTTATTGATTATGTAAACTACATATCTGTAAATTTTCAGGGCATTTGTCAATGTAGAAACATAATTAAAAATCGGCAAAGATGGCGGTGTCGAAAAGGTGCTGGCACACTCACTCATTTTAATTCTCTTTTTATTTTTTCTTATTTTTATCAAAGTGTTTATGTTCTGTATTGGATTTTTAATTCAAATTTGGTAAAGAATTTTGATGTATCGCCCAGGCAAATGTTGTTTAGTTTATTTGTCTCCATAACATAGTTTGTTTTCGGAAGTTTTTG